TCTCTGCTTGTGTTCCCTCCCTCGCTGTGTCTCTCTCTGTCAAATAAATAAAATCTTGAAAAAAAAAAAAAAAGAAAAAGAAGAAGGGAAGGATATGTGGTCACAGAGCTCCATCTGCTCGCTCTGCCTCCCTTTCTTGTAACCCTTTGAGGGCCCTGAGAGCCCCAAGAGGTGATGAGAAACTGTCCCTAGGAAACACAGCTTGAAAAGCAGAGACTTAAATGAATTGTAAGTGAATGTGGGAAAGAAAAACGGTTGCCTTCTTATGTGCCAGAGCACACTTTAATTAGAAGCTTTTTATGTGCTTTGATGTGGTATTATTAATACTTATTAATGTTGCTGTATTATTCATTCATCAGACTGAACATTGATTATGTCTACTATAAGCCAGGCTCTGTATTAAGAATTATTAGTGCCCACTCTGTATTAGTCACTGTATTTGTCTCTTTGCATATATTATGCCATTAAATCCCCCAATAACCCTGGAGGCAAGTTTTATTAGGTCCATTTTATAGATTCGAAAGTTGAGATGTAAAGAGGGTAATCGATTCACCCATGGTCACCAGCTAAGAAATGTCACAGATGAGACTTCTAGACAGGGTCACTTTTCATTACACTCTTCTGTCTCCTTCAGATGAATGACCTCACTAGGCTGATGGTCTAAATAGAGACAGATGAGTAAGGACTGCATTGGAAGGCTGTGGGGATATAGAGTGACCTAAGTCTTATAGGATGACACAGGAGTTTTCTAGTGGCTCAGGAATGGAAAGGTAATAGGACACTTTAGGCAGTTTAAACAGTATGTCCAGAGGCATGAGGTGTGAACAAGCTTTCATTATTTGCTTCCCTTTGGTAATGGCTTTCTGACCTCATTGCCTCCAGTCCCTTCCAGTCAGCCTTCTATGTTACCACGAGGATGATCTTTCCTAAACTCAAATCTGATCTTGTCATTTCCAAACTTATAATTCTGCAGGGTTCATGTTGTGTACAGTATGATTAAATACTGAGTCCTCAGCAGAACGTAGAAATCTTCTCCTAGTAGGGTCCCCAGGAGACTAATAAGGAGGAGATAGGAAATAAAAGAAGTAGGTGTGAGGGATGGGAAGAAAGATTTTAAGAACAGATGCTTCTGAGTGGTAAACTAAGAGCGGAAAAGGATTTATAGACATGTGGATTTTAGAAATCAAGAGGTCATTGCTGACTTTGGAGAGTCCTAGTAGACTGACTCTAAATTCTGTACTTAGCACTGGAATTTGGATAAAAACCTTCATTCTCAAGTAGTGACATTGTTATTATAAGTTAAAAATAGCCTGAAAATGACATGATTCTTATGAAAATGTCTGACAGCACCAAGCTTTCATTTTAGAGGGATGATTGATTTGGAGGGCTGATGGTAATGATCAGATCTGTGAATGAGAAAATAGTTGTTGCTCTATTGAAATACCAAAAACAGTATAGAATTGAATTGAGCAAGGAATTATTAGGGGCTTCTAAATGGCAGTTATGTGCTTCCTTTTACTGATGTTTTGAGAAAAACATATGCATATTATATTTACTTCTCTTTAATTATAGGTGCCATCTGGGACCAGGCCAATAAATCAACCTTGTGCATCAGACCATTTTATACAAACTTTAAGCCATAAACAACTACTGGCTGAGATGATGCAGTCTCACATGGTTAAGGACATATGTTTAATTGGAGGAAAAGTAAGAATTGCAGTTTCACTGCAGATTTCTGTTTCCTGGCTTTTGGTTATTTCGACTTCTCCCTTGAATGATTGTGTTTCCATTTGTAGGGTTGTGGAAAAACAGTCATTGTTAAGAACTTTGCAGATAACTTAGGATACAACATAGAACCCATCATGCTCTATCAGGTATGACATTCGGTTTTAGTACTCGGACTATAAACATATGTATTTGTACCATCAGTAGAATTTATGAATATTCTTCCTTGAGTTATGACCTGTTAATTTTGATGTACGTAAATAACAACAATCAAATTGGAGTACAGTGATAATTATTTGGAACTTTTGAAAGTGCATTCTAGGATACCTCATGTGCACAACATATTGGGGTCTGCTTTTCAAGAGAGATCCAATTTACCTGCATGTGCACACATACACAGAACACCTATTTAGTAGTAATTTGGAAATCTAAACCAAATGGGTTTCAGCAGCAGTGGGAGATAATTAGGTATTCATTGAATAGACTATTTTTTTATTGTGGAAAAATATACGTAAAATTTACCATTTTAATCATTTTTAAATATACAGTTCCCTGGAATTAGGTGTTGTGTAACCATCACCACTGTCTATTTTCAGAACTTTTTTTTTTCTTTCCTGTATCTCCCTCTCCCTTTCACCCATTTTGTCTACCCCCCCCCATCCTCTCTCCTCTGGCAACCACCAGTTTGTTATTTGTATTTACAGGTCTGTTTCTGCTTTTTGTTTGTTTATTCATTTTGTTTTTTAGATTCCACATGTAAGTGAAATCATATGGTATTTGTCTTTCTCTGTCTGACTTATTTCCAGAAATTTTTTATTCCAAGGAGAAACTCTATATTCATTAAACAATAACTTCCCATCCCTCCCAACCCCAGACTCTGGTAACCTCTATATTACTTTCAGTCCCTATGAATTTGCCTATTCTAGGTACCTCTTTTAAATAGCATTATACACTTTTTTGTCATTTTGTCTCTATTTTACTTAGTATGATGTTTTCAAGGTTCATTCATGTTATAGCATAAATTAGAATTTCATTTCTTTTTATGGCTTAATAATATTCTGTTGTATGGATATACTACTTTTTGTTTATTCAAATGTTGATGAATGCTCTGGTTGTTTCCTCCTTTTGATTATTGTGAATAATGCTACTATAAACATTGGTGTGTAAGTACCTATTTGAGTCCCTACTTTTAGTTCTTTTAGGTATATACCTAGAAGTGACATTGCTTGAACCATATTGTAATTCTATGTTTAACTTTTTGAGGCACTATTAAACTGTTTTCCATAGCAGCAGCACCTAATTTTACATTCCCACAAGCAGTGTGTGAAGTGATAACTCCTTGTAGTTTTGATTTGCATTTCCCTAATGACTAATGAGATTAGGCATCTTTTTATGTGCTTATTGGCCATTTGTATGTCTTATTTGGAGAAATGCCTGTTCAAGTTCCTTGCCTGGGTTTCAATTGGGTTGTCTTTTTGTTGCTGAGTTGGTAGGAGTTCTTTATATATTCTGGATAATAACCCATTTTCAGTCATGATTTGCAAATATTTTCTCCCATTCTGTAGGTGTCTTTTCACTCTCTTCATACTATCCATTGATGCATAGAAGTTTTTAATTTTGACAAAGACTAATTTATCTTTTTGTTATTGTTGCCTGTGTTTTTGGTGTTACATACAATAAATCATTCCCAAATCCAACATCATGAATCTTCCCTATGTTTTCTTCTAAGAATGTTATAGTTTTAGGTCTCACATTTAGGTCTTTGACTCCTTGATCCATTTTTAATTGATTTTTGTATACAGTGAAAAGTAAGGGTCAAACTTCAGGTCATTTGCATGTGAATGTCCAGTTTTCCCAGCACGATTTGTTGAAAAGACAGTCTTTTCCTCATGGGAGTGGTCTTGGCATCCCTGTCAAAGATCAGTTGACCATATAGGCGAGAGTTTGTTTCTGGGCTCTCTCTTTTATTCCCTTGGTCTTTCTGTCTGTCCTTAATGTCAATACCACCCTGTTTTGATTGTTATAGCTTTGTGGTAAGTTTTAAAGTCAGGCAGTGTGAGACCTCCAACTTTATTTTCTTTTCCAGGATTGTTTTGGATATTCAGGGTCCCTTGAGTTTTCATTTGAATCTTAGGATAAGTTTTTCTATTTATGAAAAAAAATGCTGTTGAGATTTTGATAGAGATTGCAGTGAATCTATAGGTCGCTTTGGATAATATTGTCAACTTAATATTGAGTCTTTCTATCTGTGAACATGAATGTCTTCTCAGATATTTGTCTTCTTTAATTTCTTTCAGCAATGTTTTATAGTTTTCAGTCTACGAGTCTTTTATCTTCTTGGTTAAATTTATTCCTAAATATTTTTGAATAGATAATTTTTATGAATGTACATGTTGTATATAGTATGAAAAAAAGCAAACTTATAGCTGGTAATTTTACAGAGTAAAATTTTCTCTCATGTATTTGTTTGTAATGATACCTCCTAAGACATTTTTATCCTGCTAATTTATTGATTCTGTATGTTAGTCTTTGGGTGGTTATGATATCTTTTTACTCATAGCAGATCCTTTGAACAATTTTTGAAGTGGATATGATACTACTTACTTATATTTTAGGTTGAATTTTGCATTTTTAGTTTATTCTTTAGTTAAATTTTCTTATTGTTACTGACACTAAATAAATTTAACATTAAGAATGCTATTATCTTTGAAAAATGACATTTAAACCAGTTACTTATTGTGACTTTGGGTTATAGAAAATGTTGGCAGCTCATACTTCAGAGTATTGAGAAGATTCCTTTCAGTGCTGCTCTAGGTTACTTTGTGCCTATTGTTTGAATTGGCCAGAGTTTAAATAAAATCTAGGAAGAAGCATATGATCCAAGTTTATGAAATCACGAAGAAAATAAAGGTGACAAGATTAAAATAGTAGTGACATCCTTGGTCTTTAGATATAAACATGTAGAGAAAAGAGAATAAATTTCTACACTGTACAGGAGGTGGCAAGTCTTGGAACCCACTGAAAATATATTTTGAAATGAGTTTTTATAAATTGATTGTAGACCTACTAGCTTTTTAAAGAGAATTAAGGAAATTGGGAGAAGGGGTTATCTTAAACTTTAATATATGGAAGATGCCATGAGGAATACCCTGACATCTTATGAAATCACTCCTCTTGATGTCTTTGCAGAGATCAGAAGGCAGATGGTTAGCTCAGTATGCTAGTTCATGTGTCTCTACCCTTACATACCTCATGTTAGAAGTGATCTGAGGATGGCATTTTATCATCTCACCAACCAGTTAACTATCACCTTTCTAATTTCCAATGCAAATACTTTTCTACCAAATAATTGGGGGGTTGGGCCCAAATCATTAATATATTTGTCAAATTAGTTAAATTTTACTCTAATATTTTATATCCCACTTATAGGTCAAGGATAAATACAAGCATAATTTATTTCCCAGGTGCCATTGCTTTGAAATCATACGGAGAAGACCTTTTGAGGATAACATTTCTTTTCTCTCTGACTCCAACCTAATTTAATTTTTTTTTAAGATTTTATTTATTTATTTGACAGAGAGAGACAGCGAGAGAGGGAACACAAGCAGGGGGAGTGGGAGAGGGAGAAGCAGGCCTCCTGCTGAGCAGGGAGCCTGATGCGGGGCCCTATCCCAGGACCCTCAATTCCAGGACCCTGGGATCATGACCTGAGCCGAAGGCAGACGCTCAACAACTGAGCCACCCAGGCGCCCCTGACTCTAACCTAATTTATTAGTAATATTATTTCTAAAATTAGACACATGATTATTTTCTTCACATTAAAATAAAAGCTCCCATTCTAATGAAAGCTGAAAATAATTTAGCCTTATAAATTTTTCCAGATAATACTGTTTCTGTATTAGGTTTCTGTAGCCAGTTTATGGTGATTTGGTAGTGGTTAATTATCCTAAGATTATATACATGAGCTGTGAAAATTATGGTCACCTCATTCTGTTTTTCATTAAAAGAAAAACCAAGCAAGAGAGTATGTATGTATTCATCAGTTCAGATCTCAACTCTGCTGAAAACTTACCCAAAGTATCCTGCCATTGAGAATGTTTTCTTTATATATGGAAGAAGTAGTTTAAGAACAGATTTCTTATATATTTTTGGAGAGTGACAGCAAGCTAATAAAAATACTATTTTAATGGGTTTTTTTTACTTTCTTGTTCAGTTTGTTGATTGATGGATAAACAAAGGTAGGAGAATTCTACCATTAAGGATTGGGAAAACTGGGACAGAGACAATTATGCAAATTAATCGTATATTCTGGAAACCCCTTTTCCAATTTTGCCTTTCTGCTCATTAGTCTTCACAGAAATATCTAGAAGAAAAGTGGTTTCTGAAAGCATAGACTTCAGAAAAGGTTAAAGAAATATAAAAATGTAGGTGAGGTTTGTTTCCATCTCTCTCCATATAGCTTCTTTCCATGAACTGGATCAAAGCATTAATTAGGGACTGTATTGTCATTTGCAGTTTTGTAAACTATTAATCAGTTGGTTTTCATGATAGTATAAGACTTTTTGTTCACATTTTATTATTTGTTAGTAGAGCTCTTTGATCTCAATGGGACAGAGGAACGAATTTAATAGAATTAAAGATGGGTTTGGATTTTATAATAATATAGTCCATATTAATGAAAAATTTCTGGAAGTTTGAGCTGACAGAGAATTTAGTGGGAATAAGTAACCCAACATCTGTTTTCCTAGAAGATGTGGAGATTTCCCTGTTATTTGTACATGTATAAAGCTACACTTAATCTGTGGGTTTTGCTTTATTTTTAGACTTGACTATTTTTAGAACTGGATTTCATATGAAGAAAAAGAAAAACAGAGCCTTAACACAAATTTGTGGTAGTACATAAAGTAAGTTTAATAGGTTGTAAAAATCTTAAATCACTTGGCTCAAGTGTTAGGTCAGATTCTTTTAACTGGTTATTCTTTTTTTAGTGTTGAAGCCAGTGATTTCATAGTATTGAAGAAATCCAAGTTATTATTCTTTTCCTTCACAACCAGATAAGGGCATGTTTCCAGATTTCTTTCCGCACGATCATAAACAGCACCAGATCTGAGATATCTTTCTTTTGTTAAAGTACTAGTTGGATAAAAGC